GCATCGGCTAATTCCAAAGCGAACAGGTTGGATTTTTTGCCTCTCTGGAAAATGGTCATCCAAAGAAGAGGAGACGATAGCTGCAACAGAAGGATAACAGTATGCAACTATCCCATTAGGGACATCGACGAAGTAGGCTCTGGAACATTTGGAAAAGTCTACAAGATGGATCGTGACGGAAAGACCTTCGCTGTGAAGAAATTTACATACTCAAACAGCGATGCTCTCCATATTACAACACTGAGGGAAATAAAGGCTTTGAGAGCAATCCACAGCAAATATGTCCTGAAAATAAACAAAATACTGGTAAATTCGTATGTGATACATTTAATATTCCCCTACTACCAATATGATCTTTACAAGTTGCTGGGTGTTGAAAACTTTACACTGGGAGAGATCAAGCACATATTCTGGCAAATTTTGAAGGGAGTTGAGTCAATACACAGCAGTGGATACTTACACAGAGACCTCAAGACTGCAAACATACTGATAAATCGGCGCTCCAGGGGCGATTTGTCCGCAAGAGGCTGCGATGGCAGATACATCGACAACCATAAGAACTTTGATGGATATAGGAACTATGGTGGTTACAATGGTAGCAAAGATAGTAGCTTCAAAAGGACAAGGATCGAGGAGAAATCTGGTGAGGAATACCCAGGCACACCTTCTGGGTACGAGGCCTGCATCTGTGACTTTGGAATGTCGAGAATACATGGGATAGACATGTCGCCAGGTGTTGTCACACTGTGGTACAGACCACCGGAGATTCTCCTGGGGTCATCTTCGTATTCTAGGTCTGCAGATGTTTGGTCTCTTGGATGCATTCTGCTTGAATTCTTCAACAAAAAGCCAATATTCAAGGCCAATGCTGACATTGATGAGCTGTACATGATAATTGAACTCTGCGGAAGTATACACGAGGAATCCTTTCCCGGATGTGCCAAGCTGCCACTGTTTAGCAAATACAAACTGAAAGAGGGTACACGATGTATACACGAAAGGTTCTCGCAGCATTGCAAAGAGGCGGCTGATTTAGCCGACAAGATGCTTAAGCTAGATCCAAATGAAAGAGTGTCTATCCAAAGCTGCCTTGGCCATCCATTTTTTACCTCAATGTAAACAGTTTTTGCGTAGGAAGGCAAATCTGAGTATTAATCAGCAGGTTTGTGGTGTATAGATTGCTGGCATTCTTATTTGATAAGTGTACTTATGTATTTCTTTTAAATGGATCGGTTTTGTGATGCGCAAGACATTTCGAAAGCTGAAACACGAACCAGTAAATTCACGATTTAACTCTTTTACTAGAATCTTCATGTTTGCTGTTAAAGGCTATGATAGTAGAAGTTTTATAAAGGGCGTTAATCTTTTGTAAGGCTTTAATTAGCAGCCTTCAAGCAACTGCTGTTACATTAATACCATCGAGGAGCTTTAGTTTCTCGATGTAACAGATTATGTTTCATGTCATGGCCGTGACCAATAAGTATCATGCACATTTGCTATTTAAATTTTTGTTTGGACTGTGCAATATGGTAAAGGAAGTCGAAAATATCAAGACGCTCTGCGCGGACATTGTAGAAAGAGCTAAAAGTGGCCATCCTGGCGCCCCCTTAGGGCTTAGCCAGTTCATTCACATTTTATATACTGAGTACCTGCATCTAAATCCTGACGACCCCAAGTGGCTCCACAGAGACATTTTTGTTCTTTCTAATGGACATGCGTGTGTAATTCAATACCTTATGAATCATCTAATTGGGTTTCTCCCATTCGAAGAATTATTAAATTTCAGACAGTTGAACAGTAAAACGCCTGGACATCCAGAGAGAAACGACTGCGGAATTGAAATAAGCACAGGCCCGTTGGGACAAGGCGTAGCATCGAGTGTGGGGTTCGCAATAAGCTCCAAAATACTGCAGAAATATGGACTAAACAACAGGGTTTACTGCATATTTGGCGATGGATGCTACCAAGAAGGGATCTCACAGGAAGCATTTTCCCTGTGCTCAAAACTGGGGCTAGACAATATTACGTTCATATATGACTTTAATAAAACAACAATTGATGGCTCTACGAAACTTTCAATGTGTGAAAATGTTGTAGATAGGTTTAAGAGCTTAAATTTTGATGTTTTTGAAATTGAAGATGATGCTGAACAGATCCGAGAGGTTTTGAGCATAAAATGCAACAGAGCTAAGGTGGTTGTTCTTCACACACGGATCGGAAAAGACTCCGAGCTTGAGGGCAGCAGTAAGTGCCATGGAAATCCTCTGGGTGCGGAAAATGTCCTAAAATTAAAAGAAAAGCTTGGAATGCCAAAGGACAAGTTCTACTTTTCAGAAGATCTTGTATCTGCCTATCGCACTGCTGCTGAAAGGATGAGAAGGCACGCAAACGAGACCGCATCCTTGAATGGCCTTCCGGAAACATTAAACGAAATCATTAGGTCGGTTGAAGAACACAGACAGTTAGAGTATTGGGTTAAATACAACCAGGACTATGTGTCTGAAACGCTTGCCACGCGAATACATTTCAGCAATGCTTTAAATACAGTTTCTACGAATGTACAGCTTCTTTGCGGATGTGCAGATCTCACTCCGAGTATTAAAGGCCAAATAAATGGTACAGATGATCTGTCACCTGACCATTTTAGTGAAAACTCATATATTCGATATGGAATAAGAGAGCATGCAATGTGTGGGGTGATGAATGGAATAGCATCTCATGGCATATTCACACCAGTATGTGGAACATTCCTGAACTTTGCAACATATGGAATGCCGTCAATCAGAATGGCGTGTCTTGACAGATTGAAGACTATATATGTGTTTACACATGATAGTATTGGGCTTGGAGAAGATGGACCTACGCACCAGCCCATCGAGGTTCTGTCCACATTGCGGGCGCTGCCTAACCTGACGACATATCGGCCATGCGATGGCAGGGAAACACGAAGTGCCCTAGCACTAGCTCTATTAAACAAGAAAGGTCCAAGTGCCATAATTCTAACTAGACAAAAAGTCTCCGAGATTGAATGGACGAGCAAAGCTAACGAGAAGTTCTGTAGTAGAGACGCAAGCGACATTGACGAATACAGTAGTGTTGAAAAGGGTGGATATTATCTCATCAAAGAACCTGGACACGACATAGTTTTGATGGCAACGGGGAGTGAGGTGGAGCTTGCTGTCGAAGTAAAAAAGAATCTAAAAGAATACAGAGTATCCGTAGTATCAATAATGTCCCTTGAACTATTTGAAGAGCAGCCAGAGGAGTATAAGCTGACAATTTTGGATAGAAAGGCCATACGTGTCAGCATCGAAGCACTGTCAACATTTGGCTGGGCAAAGTACAGTGATCTACAAATAGGGCTGGATATGTTTGGAAGGAGTGCACCATATAAGGATGTGTTTGGATATTTTGGCTTTACCCCAGAGGCTATTTCTGAGAAGATCAGGAGATTTATTGCAAACCTCCGATCAAGCAAATAAAGTTGGCATAGCCAAGGTTAGCTTTTGTGTAATACTATCGACTGTTGTATGATGTGTATTTTTACGAAAGTGGCATGCTTCCAAAAGGAAATAGCCTACAAGCCATGGATTTACAACACCAATACGGAATTTCACATTTTAAGTCGATCCACAAGACAAATCCATTCTTTTCTCATCATTTCCTTAATTTCGATCACCACTCCAATTGTTTTGTTTCTAAAAATTTGAGCCCACATGAGATTTGCGAGTGTACTGTTCATCTGCCTTGCTGCTGCAACATTCTCATCACTTTCCAACACTGCAGAATCGTGGTATACTTCTGCCTCTACGACAGTGCATTCCCGACTGGGTGCAGTGGATGCATACTTTAAGAAGCTTACGGCTACTTATTTTGATTGTCTAAAGGTATTTTTCAGCTCCATGAGAAATGAAATAACCAGAAGACAGCTGAATAAGCCCATGCATTCCATGAAGGAGTTTCTGGATCGCATGAGGTCCTATGTGCTCAAAGGACGCAGGATTGTTGAAGAGGAGAAGAAGATTGAGGTAGAAGAGCAGGAGGAAAAAGAGCGTAAAAGAAAAGAGGAGGAAAAGAGTGAATTATGAATAAATATTATTTAAAGGTCCAATTTAATATACATTGCGGGCAATACGCCAAGTTTAGCTTTATCGTTCCGCTCTTCCTTGATAGTATTCAAAATATTGTGTTAATGGGCAAACTATTTGCCATTTCAATCTACATTTTTGTATTCCCTCAATGGCACTGAAAAAATCCAAAAAGCTATTAGAAATCACAAACACTCCCAAAGCAAAGAAAGCGGCCGTTGAGGAGCCAGAAACCTGCTGTGTAACCAAAGATGAAGACATTTTGGATTTAAGAATTGATGTTTCTGACGATCTATTTGAGAATATCCAAATAGATATGAATGAGCTAAAGTTTAGGAACAAATAGACAAAGGAGACAATAAAGTTTGATATGGAAGATTTGCTACATCTGGGCTTTGCTACGCGAAGCCTCAATATGATCAAGGACTTTGATTGGATTTGGCCACAAATTTTTGGAAATAAAGCCAGATCAGGTGTGTAGCTCATCCATATAGCAGATGGGCCTGAAACTTTTAGGGTGCCATGTAATTTTGAGTAGCAAATGGCTTTACGAAGATGAACCTGTCAATAAAATGTATCTGAATCATAGATTAAGTTGGATTTAAGGTTGTTTTTTGAGGATGTGTTTATCTCATTAATTTTTATGGCTAAAGTTTGCTGGTTATTGATGGTGATTTTATATTTAGAAACTGTCATCTCTACTCAAGTAAACTCGATATGATTAAGCAAGAAACTGCACCAGATAGTTAGTGCATAAATAGCTTGAGGAGCCGCTGCGTGCCTACTTCTTTTTTCATAAAAGACCGTCAACGCACCAAAATCAACCGCACAGCTTTTATGGCACCTAAAACAGTTAGTTTTGTGCGCTTCATTGGTGCATTTTCTTCTATTCACTACTTTTTAATCTTTCATTTATCACTGTGATATAATTTTAATCAGATCAATTTTCGGTTGAAAAGATTTAAAAATAAAAAATTTCAGTCCACCATATGACCATTGCGATTGGAAGAATGAACTTTATACTTCTAGCCTTTGGCTTCATGACCCAGATTGGCGCGACCGAGCTTACTTCGCCATGCTCCGTCACTACGAGTGGTGTCGATTATGTAACTACCAACCCTGGCCCCGAAGTGAATAATGCAGCGTGTAGTCTAGTAGGTAATGATCAAATTATGATGTCAAAGTTTGTGGCAGGCATTATCTCGTGCTTTTTCTTGGCCGACCGTGGCAGAGATTCATCTTTCGCTTTGGATGACGAGGGTTTTAAGCAGTCACTCAAGGATGCTCTAAAATATTTTGTCAGAAATAGGGAAGATTTGCTTAGTGCCTTTAAAGAATATTGTGCGATAGCCTCAGGAACCATGAAGATAACAGATGCAAAAATGAAGATATCACAGACAGCTGAGGCATTAAGAATTATTGTAGACAACCAAGCTTTTTAAGGCTTTATGTCCAAGATTGAGTCTGCTTTAACAGCCTATTCTAATGCATTGAACTGTCACAGGCTGCAATATAACTTACCAACGGTAGGGGTCCGCCAAAAAGAGTTTTCTTCACTTCTAAGGCTATTTCTCCAGAGAGATTTAGCAGTTGATCCTCGGAATGAGAAAAGAGACTTATTAATACATGTAATATTGCTTTTGAATTCGCCCTTTGAGTTTTCTGAAAATTCAAAACACGAACAGCACCTATTTTTGTTAGCTGGCCGAATTCATCGGTACATTTCAAATAATACTTCGCATATTTTGTATTTGTATATTAGGATGATGTCTGCTCCATCTAACAGTGATGATAGAAAAATTAATGAGTTAAGTAATGCTTTTATTTCTGAACTCAAGCGTCTTTGCAGTAAACTTTCAGCTCCTAGGCTGACAGATAATTAAAAGCTAACTTAAAGATGTTTTTAATTTTTGGTAAAATACGTTTATTAGAAAAGTTGCAGACTTATTTGTATGGTCAGATAGATCCAAGAAACACATCCAGGGTGTGTTTGTGTTGGTTATAGATAAGTATACTCTACTGAATATTCTTCTATACGGTTTGGATTTATTCACACTAATAGCCAATTAGACAACCACTGATCTAACTTTGATGCTACGGTATAGAAAGACTGAAGAAGAAACATAAGCACAAGCCTGACTTATTGTTGTTTCTTCCTTTGGAGGTTTTTTCTTATTTTACAGCAACTTCTTCCTATCTCTTTATTTTCATCAAAAATTTTTAATTTATCACCATGAGTTTTAATCATAAAATTTGGTACCCATCATATGATGATTGCTATTGGAAGAGTAGGCTTTATGCTTCTAGGCTTTGGCTTCATAGCTCAGATTAGTGCGGCAGAATTTATTTCATCAGGCATCATTATGAGGGATACTAACTGTGAGACTGTCAACTTTGATCAGGGAATGAGTAGTGTAGAAGCTAGTTTAGTTAATACTGATCAAGCGATGATGTCAAAGTTAGTGGCAGGTGTCATTTCGTGCCTCTGCTTAACGGGTGAGAGTGGAGATGCATCCTTTGCCTTGAATGATAGGAATTTTAGGCGGTCACTCAAGAACGCCCTGAAATACTTTATCAGAAACAGGGACGATTTGCTCGATGCTTTCAGTAGGTTTGATGCGATGGCTGCAGATGTTATGAGGATAACAGATCAAGACTCAAAAACACCGCAGGAAATTGAGACATTAGGTATTCTTATGGGCAACCCAACCTTCCGAGGATTTATGTCTCGTGTTGGTTCTGCTTTAAAAGATTACTCAAGGGCATCGAATCTTTACCGACGGAGAAATGGATTGTCAAAAATTGAAGACCGCAAACAAGAGTTTTCTACACTTCTGAAGCTATTTCTCCAGAAAGATTTAGCAGCTGATCCTCAGAATGAGAAAAGGGCCCGGTTGTCGTACGAAGTATCACTTGTCGATGAGATCCTGGGTTCTTTTGAAGATGATTTAAGTCCAAATCAACGACAAATCGAACTAGTCAACCAAGCTTATCAGAAAATTTCAGATAATGCTCGCAACATTTCAGCTCTGTATCGTTTGGTGATGACAATACCGTCTAATTGCAGCAGTAGTACAATTGACGAAATATTTAATTCTTTTATTGAAGAGCTTACGCGTATTTGCGACAGATTCTCGGCTGATGATTAAAAGCACTTTAATACATTTTTAATATGATATTACGGTAGTATTAATAAAATTACAAGCACTTATTAATTTATAATCGTATATGGCTGACAGAGCTTAAAACAGACATAGCTGGCGATAGTACAAAATAGAAGATTGGTAGTGCAGCACAGAAAATATGCAACTATGGAAGCATATTTAATTAGCATTGTGTCCTTTAATTAAAGTTTACACGCCAATGACAAATCCATGGCAATCTTTTGCAATAGCACTTATAAAGACCTAAGCTGTGCATATTCTATAAATTAGGTGTATCCATAAAATAGTGTGTCAATAAGTTTATTTCTGTTACTCTACTGATCAAATGAGATAATACCGCCTTCCAAACCGATCGTAATCAAGACACAGCTCTTCGCCTGTGAAGAATTGGTGGCTTAGCACATCATCAATGCTTTGAGGCGGGTATTTAGTATATCCTTTGCAGACGAGGATCAGATCAATGAGCTTTTCATCCCGAGTCAAAAACCCCATGAATTGACTAAAGAAGAGCTGGCCCGGCGCACGTAGCTCAACTTTTATAGGTTTAGTAGTTGTAGTGGACTGTCCGATCTTATTGCTTAATTTGTGGAGCATATGTCCAAACTGCTCAAAATCAGAATTGCAGCAGCTCCACCCAAAAAACCTTCCAACTGGGTCTTGATACTTCACAAGCTCTGGCTCCCGCCCTAGATTTATAAGTTTGAAGGTAATATCCCAATTTCCATCTTCCTTGATTTCCAATGCTCCTCTAATACTATCACTTATGCTATTGTTATAAGCTATGTTCTTCTCATGGAGTGCTTTCAATCCCATGAGCACATCTCTTGCTATCTTTCTTATCATAGCAACCCCATTTTGCTTGACATAGTTGCTGTCAAGGCTAATATCAAGATACTCAGAAAGGTACCAGATATCTTTATCCTCAGCCTCACCGGGTTTTGGTGAAGTACTTCTTTCAAACACATGTAGGATTTTTGCAACATTAGGAGAATCAATATCCTTGGCAAGCAGATCATTTGAATGGAACTTTTCATAGCCTTTTGAGCATCCTATCTGCTTCAAGACATATAAAGCTCCATCATATGCCACCTTAAAGACAGAAAACTCATGGATGTTTTCAATTTCCAGGTCCTTCAGACCATACTCTGAATTCAAAAAGTCTAAGACATGTTCTCTGTCTTTCATATTTTTAATATCAATAGTATCAAAGAAGCTTGTGATTCTTTGAAGTTTTAATGTCAATATATCACCACTGGCGACTGTGTTTAGATGATCCAAGTCCTCAAATAGCCTTTTTAGGCTTTCCATGAAAAGACGTTGGTGACTGTCTAGGCTCTGGAAAGCTAAATTTGGACTCATCGAGCTGAGAAAAGCATTGAGAGATCGAGATTTGTAATACTCTTCCAAGGCCTTTGAATATACGTCTTCGCCGTTGGTATAAAATCCCACAGGATAGTTTCTTTCTTCTGTTGCAGGAACATCAACAGCACGGTTCGATGCAATGTAGTTTGGATTTGGACATTGTTCTCCAATGCCTCCAGTCTTGGTTGCACCTTGAAACTCAATCAATTCGTGTGATGGTGGTTCGGAAAGATCATTGGCAGTATGATAACTATTGAGCTGGTGTCCAGTGAATGAATCAGAAGAGCAGGTATTAACTGGGCTAATAAGAGCATGATCTACAGTGGTTGGCATGCTGGTGTCTACATGCTGCCGAGGTGTCTCAGTAGACACTTCTTGAGGCATGTATGAAAATCGAAAATTTGAGATGTCGAGGACTGGAAATAGTATAACCATCGATAGGCATGCTAATGTCAGCAGACATGCTCCAATGATCATATTTCTTTTTCTGTTCCATGCAGTACGCTCTCTCTGTCGCCTCATCATACGTGATTTGCTGTTTTTTACGATAGCATATTGATATATAGTTGGATGGTATTTATTATTCATAGGGATTAAGATTTGTTTGGATTTTTAATTATTAAAAATTTTAACTGTCAAAAAATTCAAAAAATTTTTGTATGTCAACCAATCTATTAAATTTACTCGATATGATTGAATGTTGGTAGAGTTAGCATTGAAACCGACAATTATCAATTTACATCAGCCTGTCACATATTGTATTTGCTCATCCCAAATAGTGTTGATAGTTAGCATGAGAGAGCACATCTACATGCATCTAAGCTCTGCTCAAATCTTGCTTTACAGAATCGCTGAGCAATGGCTTTCCTGGTCTTACCATACAGGTTGAGCAACGGCCAGCTTGAATAGTACACCAGCCATTGTACAGTTGTGAGCTATCTTCCAAAGCATAAAACGAGGTGGTTTGGAAGTGGGAGAAAGTATTAGTAGGAATGCCGAAATTTATACTGCTATAGGAAAATTGTTCGCTTTAAGCATCAATCCTGCCATTGCTACCACTATTGTATGCGCAAGCATAGTCTGTCTCTGGACACACAGAGACAGCAAGAAAAAGTACTACAAGCTTATAAAAGCTTCTTTGCTGCCATGCCTGTCATTACGTATGACAAAGTGTATCTTTGCTCTGTACTTTTACGGCTTTAACAACACATTTGCACCCTGTTTTGTGACTGAATATGGCATCTTCAAAGAGATAGCAATTTTTTGCATTCTTATAGACATTGAGCTTCTCATACATCCCCTTCTTTCTTATGTTAATCCTACAACAGAGCCAGAAAATAAGTTCAAATCTTTTAAGATACTATTTTTGACTGTTTTCGGCTATCTTGCGTACTGCATTACAGTCTATCCAATAATCTGTAGCAAAGTAGAAGACGATTCAACATTCGGTGACACAAAGCCCAGAGATGCATTGCTGTCTATGAAGTTCGAGACTACGCTTCTTGTATTCCTTTATGTAAGTACCATATTTGTCTTATACTTGATTTTCCAGGAACATAAGGACCAGCCCAAAGCAGAAGTTGTTTGGAAATTCAGAAGACCTGACAAAGGTGCCAGAAAGTGAGCGTAGTAAACAAACCTCATCTGCTAACGAATCTCAGCGTGTTTAACTGAAGGAGTAGCAAGTTGCAGACTATTGGAACATTCCACATGCCGTCTCCACAGCTTTTCTCAGCAACTTTTGGTGAAATTCAGCTTTATCATTTTCTAATTGTTGTTGGCTCTCTGGTCATTAACTTCACTGTTTGAGAAAATTTCTAAAGTAGCCCAGTCATGCCTAAAAAATACATGCTGGAGGACGATTCATTATTTATACAGACTGTAAATGAAAACAGAAATGAAGAGCCAAGCAAAGGAATATGAAGGAGCGGAAGAAAATTATTTCAACTTGGGTATAGAAAAGAATTTAAACCCAAATGTGAAGGCTGGAGTATTTGAAATGTTGAATAGTATCAAAAGAGTTCCAAAGCCTGAAAGCAGCGAAAAGGACATGGATTTAAATTCTATTAGAGAATTTGAAGAGTACATTGACCTAAAGAACTTCAACATCGATTTCAAAACAAACGAGTTTAAAGAGAAGCATGCTGAGCAACATACATTTCAAGACTCAAAGAACGTAGACAGGTTGGATAGGGTAGATCATGGAGATGCAGCACTGGTTATTGCTAGCATAAAAAAGGCAGAGTCGGCCGGTATTGTTGATGACGATTCTTTTGAATCTGTGTTGAATGGAGACTAGAAGATTAAGAAAGAGCCTTAGTGATTCTCAGTGCAAGCATGGCACTAGTAGCTATGAAAACAGTTCATTTTCAGGAGGCTTAATGATTATTTCGAGTGAGGAAAGTAATGAATTTAATATGAATAGCATAAAAGAAGAAATGCATAAACATGACGGCGGAATAATTGAGATTCTTGAATGCACAAGTTCAGAGCAAGAGGATCTCAGCGTATCAAGCATCAGCAGGTCAAGCATCAGCAAAAGAAATCTTGATGATTCGTTGTCATTGTCATTTGAAGAGGAGGAGTTTACCTTTAAATCGTCTCTGAACCAGATGGCATTGAACCAAACTAGAAAACCTAATGAAAGAGACCTATCTGCAATAGAACATACCAATACGGAATTCCGTGCGCGTAGCCACTCCTTTGACTCTGAAGACTTTTTCAATGCTAACAATCCCACTTCGATGGAACCAGTGACAATACAGCTATATTTTTTGAGGAACGTGTTCAATCTGGAAAATTTTAGAGGAAACCAAGAGGAGATAATAAAAGCAGCATTAAATAAAGAGGACATTTTTGTTTTGATGCCCACGGGTGGCGGCAAGTCTTTATGCTACCAGCTGCCGGCTATGATACAGGATGGCCTGACGGTTGTTATCTCTCCTTTGCTTTCATTGATTCACGATCAAGTTTCAAATCTGCTCAATAAAAATATACCTGCAGTGGCACTAAACTCAAACTGTACGTACTCTGAGAGAACTTTGATTATGAAGACATTGCAGGCGTGCCATTCTGTTAAGATTGTGTATGTCACCCCAGAACTACTTAATAAAAGCACTCAGTTTAGCAATATACTTCACGAACTCGACCGAAGAGGAAGGCTCTGCAGGTTTGTAATAGACGAGGCACACTGTGTCTCCCAGTGGGGACATGACTTTAGACCTGACTACAAGGAGCTGGGAATAATCAAAAGAAAGTTTCCCAGGATACCCCTCATAGCTCTAACAGCAACTGCTACGAAGAAGGTTGAGCTGGACGTGCTCAATAGCCTAGGCATCGAAGGATGTAAGGTATTTAGACAGTCATTTAATCGGCCTAATTTAAAGTACTATGTCATGAGCAAGACAAAGAAAAGTCTTACAGACATAGTCTCCTTTGTCCATACATACTACCCCAATAGTCCAGGAATTATCTACTGCACCTCCAAGAAAGATTGTGAGGAGATGAGTGAAAAACTAAATGAACACCTGAAGACCACCTTTTACCATGCAGGGTTGAGTAAAAGAGAACGAAATAAGGTTCAGGAGATGTGGAATGATGGAACCATCAAGATTATTGTGGCCACTATTGCCTTTGGAATGGGAATTGATAAGAGCGACGTGAGATTTGTTATTCATTACAGCCTTCCAAAGAGTCTGGAAGGATATTACCAGGAGACAGGACGTGCAGGGCGTGATGGTCTTGAGAGTGTGTGTATTTTATACTACAACTATGGCGATACAAAGACCATAGAGTTTCTTATTGCCAACAATCACAATGCTACCAGCGATCAAAAGAATAGACAGAGAGAAGAGCTAAAGTATGTTGTTCAATACTGTGAAAACAAGACGGACTGTAGAAGGAAGCTAGTTCTTAGTCATTTTGGGGAAAACTTTGATCCTGCTGAGTGCAACAAGACATGTGACAACTGCACAAGAAACTTCACCAAGACCAAGGATTATTCGAAGCAGGCCAAAGAGATACTCTCATTGATAAGAGATGCAGAAAAAATATCGTTCATCCAGGCAGTTGATGCATATCGAGGGTCTGCAAATAGGAAGAGTCTTGAGTTCAGTCAGATGCCATTCTTTGGGAACGGAAAAGATTTGAAGAAGACTGAAGTTGAAAGAGTTCTCCAGTATTTGGTAGGCAATGGCAATATTGAGAACAGAGCAATTATGAATAAGAAGTCTAGATTTGCACATAACTATCTTGTATACAAGGCCAGGCTAACCAATGCGGTAATTCTAACAGTTGAAGAAGAGATAGAAGTTAGCAAAGACTACAACACTCGTGATGATAGAGGTGCCGGTAAAACGAAGGAAACCCGCATAGGCAAAGCCAAAGGTAAGACCAGGGATGCAAAAAGGAGTAAGACAGTTGAAGATAGAGCAATAAAGAAGAAAAGAAGGGCTGATAGTGACGAGTCCTGCCAAATATTAGCCGAGTAATAAAATAAGCAAGGCTTGGAGTAAATCCAGGACGTGTTTGATTCATCAGCTTGTATGTAAATCGAAGAAAGCTCAGACGGAAAGTATTGTTCCAAGGGCATCGATGGGTAACAGCTACCAATAAAGGTAGAGCCCTTTTAAAACAGCTTGCGGCATTACCAGATAGTATGATAGATTTTTAATGGCCACGTTATTAAAATTACACCTGTTGCAGATACTCCAAAGGAGATGTAATGCGTAGTGTTTGTGGATATCAGCAGTACTAATGGTCTCTTTGGTAATGCTCACTAAGGCTTATATCAACAACACAAATTTATTAATAAATAGCACACTCATCCAATATCTTTTCTTCTACACAAAGGACAGCACCAAGAAACGGCAACCCACTTTTTGATGCACTTTGTGTGAAAGGTATGCAGGCATTGAAGTGATGTACACTTGTGGGAAGGTCTGAAGTCGCAGTAGCATATTCCACAGCTTTTTCCGTCTACATTGATCATATCCTTGAACATTGTTGATTTAAATTTGGTCTTTTTGAAGGATGAGAAACTAATGTTATCAATATCATCAATGGAAATCAAGCTGATCAGGGCCTGTACGGATGACACATCTCTAATGTCATTCATAAGTATACTCGACACTCTGGACTTCAGAAAACTAAGTTCGTCGGGGGTAAAGTCCCGTATTTTGTCAGCTATATTAACATCATTATAGGGATAACTGTCAAATTCATAGATCGAGTAATACTCGCCAATACCTAGGTTATATGCCATGTACATTCGTACGAGGATCATTGTAATTAACTCATAGGTTACTCTCGGATACAGCTGGTCCGAATTCCTACTCTCTAGAATTATCAACTCATGCTCGTCAGGTTCGCTTTCTGCAGAAAGCCTTTCGTTTCTATCAGCACCAGTGCTGTTTCCATTTTCAGGAAATCGACTCAATTCTCCTCTCCTCATGCCTGTAACTATTTGGCTTGTCTCTTCCCAATAGACCTCATCGGAATATTCAGAATCTTCATCATAGTCGTATAAAGTTGCATCCAGATCATCAGAAAAATAGTAGCTCTCCTCTTCTTCATCTTCAAATTCGTCATAATCATCATCAAACTCGTCTTCAAATGAATATTCCTCGTTATACAGTGTTCCACCGCTACTGTCAAAACTAGAATATTCGTCTACCTGTCCCTCATAGCTACTTCTGTATTCTTCAAAGCTAGAATTGAACACAGGGTTTGAATGGGACAAGGAATCTTCTATTAAACTGCCCTCATCCACAATTACGGTGTTTTCATCCTCCGTAGAGCTCTGAATGGTTATCATTCCTGCTGAATCCGAATTAACATCTGTAAAATCTATTGGGTATTCTTCATTCAATTCAGGATCATCTATAAATATCATGTTACTATCCTGTCTGTTTTCGGTACTTTGCTTTGGCATCATAGGGGAGGGCAATCATCTAAATAAAAATTTGAGGAAAATAACAATTCATGGTATTAACATCCAAAATAGATAAAGCTGCCGCTGAAGCTAAAAGTGAGGCTTAAGCACAGGGCCATAAACATATATGTCATATACAAGAATGCTGACTGTTGTGAAAATAATGCATCATTTCACAGTTATTAAAATGGAAATAAAGAAAGTAAAACCAGCTCTGGAATGAATCCTTGCTCCAGTGTTATGGTGACTAAGGCCAGATAGTCTAGAGACAGAATTAAACGAGCACGTTTATAAGATATCCTTTCCTATTCTTTTAATTAGCATGCGGCCATCTAAATTAGAAGCATTTTTACGGCATGACATCTGAGCCATCCCGTAAATTTCTTAATGGCTCCAGTATTGGCGTGAATCTCTAGGTCTCTGTTGCCATCTAAAATATATACAAGTATGGTTTTGAAATACTTGTTTTAACATGAATGCTGTTCTTGGTCTCAACGCTATCTGGTAAAATCGATGTTTGTTGCAAGTCGACTCAAACTATGTGTTCCAACAATATTAAATTTGGTGTGCAAAAATTTCTTTCATTACAACAATATAGCCTATGATAGGCAAAGAGAAAATACATCCCAACAAGATGATTAGAACAAAATGATCAGATTATAGATAGCTAAATGCAAACAGGTGCTTTGCATATGTTTAAGCACTTGTTCGTCCAATGTTCACTCTGCTTTGAATGGGATCTTCTCTTCAGTGCTAAGCCTATGCCCACATTCTTCGTTGTTGCTAGCATTCAAAGCTTGTAGACATCAGTTTTCACATCTGCGTACATATGGAAGACCAAGATAGAAATATCTTCGGCTGCCTCGACTTTTTAGCTACCACACAGACCACCTGATGCTTTTAAGTTCAATATGGAGCATTAAAACATAAATACGAAGCCGCTTCATGATATGTCCACGGAACATTCTGTTTTCCTTTTGGAACTTGTTTTTACATGTCAATTTCACGCCAATTTTGCCCCATCCATGGACTCTGGTGCTGCAGAAACTACTGCACAAAACGAAAAAACTTGCAAAATATGCCATTCGGCTTGCAACGAGGAATCTCCGTATATCCATCCATGTAAATGCAAAGGATCTCTAAAGTTTATCCATGTCGAATGCTTGAATGAGTGGTTAAAGCTCACAAAAACAAAGAAATGCGATATTTGCAACTATTCTTTTAGATTTGAGAAGAAATTTAAAATAGGAACGCCAAAGAACGTGCCATTCTATTACATCCTTCTTTTTGCTCTCAAGGGAGTGCTCCACGGGGCTATCAATATTTTTTGCTTCTTGTACTCATCGCTCAAGTTTCTGGTTATCTTTGCTTTTAACTCTACAATATGCCAGAAATATGTGCATTCAACCACATCCCTCTATTCTTCATTCTTCATTGGCCTTCTATTTACTCTTGTCAATCTTCTGCACTCAATGCTCATCAATATGGCCCTTAAGTGCATCTCTTCATTTCGTGCACGAATGCAGAGTAGTATTGTTCTTCAGAACCTAGTTGCTGATATCTCAAGCAGATCTGTTGACGACACCACTATTTCAATGCGAAGCCATGCAGAGCAAGACAATTCAGACTCTGGCGAAATTGACGAACAGATTCTTGAGCCTTTCAGTATAACATTAGAGGCCAATCTAAACGACGTTTTCTTTAGAAGTCCAACAATAGCTAACATCAAGTCTGACTTGAAGATTGTGGGGCATCTTTGCATCTTTTCTGCCGTCTATCCATTTGTTTACTACTTTTCATCCGTTTTCAGATACATTCTGACACTTATTGATTGCAGAATCGGATTGTCAGATATAGTGTATAGGCTAGCTCCGAAGATGTTTGACTTTATGTCGATGATTCACATCAGGGCGTTTTTTTTCAGGATGTCGGGTGTTGCTTCATTTTTCATCTTTTTGATTTTCATCTTCTACAATTTGAAGATCACCATGTCCTCACAGATAGTCAAAAACATTTATTATCTCATAAAATGGTACTTCATCACCGTTATTTCTAGATTTTTTGTTATCTGCACTGTTGGTGTATTGTCGCACTTTTCATTTTCTGCAGCCTTCAACTGTGAAGTACCAATCTTCGCATTTTCGCAGCCTTGGCTTTCGGTTGTCGTCCATTTTGTATTAGGCAGCATCTTTACATACATGTGCAGAGACCTGGAGCAAAAGCTAATAAAGAAATATCGGCCAGGATTGATACCCAAGGTATTCAAGGACGAATCATTCTCTTGCCTCGTTGACTATTGCTGTAACCTCACAGCAAGACAGTTCATCTTCCGAACGGCTGGCAGCTTTCTTGTAATATCTGCACTTCCCTTTTCGATATTCTGCCTGTCGCGGATTCACCTTGATTTTAGCTTTGAAACCAACGATGAACTGTGGTCGTTCTTCTATCTTAAATCAGTCCTACTTCTCTTCAGGAATGGCTCCTCGATCACGAAATTTCTATCAAATCCTGTTTGAAACAATTGTTTGGGCACTTGCAAAAGCGTTTGATGCCGAGAACTACTTGTACAATAAAAAGATTGGCATACGAGACAAATCAAGGCTTGTGTGGGCCGTTAATGTGCGACATATAGATCCTAAATATGAGCAGATACTTGAAAGAGTCAACAATATTGTCAAAAACAGGGAAACTGAAAATAAAAAAAATGGCGAAGAATGCAACTTTGATCGAACAATAAAGAGTTTTTGCACTGACGAAGCTATACGAAAAAGGACAATGGCCTTAGGAAAGACCCAGGAATCAGAAAATGCGAGTGAGACAAGCTCTGTTTTTGAAGATGGAATGCTTCGCAACAACAAGATCTCAGCCACCCTTATTAATTCATTGACTGAACTGGAAAAAGACTACATTTTTGCCCGTTACCAAATAACGGAAAGAAGGATCGACAAATATTACGGACAGAACCATAGTAAGAAATTCTCGGTGTTTTACAAGCCAAAGTATTTCAAAGTCTTCAAAATACTCAGCTTTGCTCTGTGTTTAGTTTCCACGTGCTTGATCTTCAATGTTCTATTCAGAATGTCTCTTCTTCTTTCGAGCCTTGTAACCTTAAACAAAAACAAGATAAGACCTGTTGTATTTGTATACAATTCCTGCCTAATCCTATCAACGGCTTCGTATATTTCTAATGTTTTCACCAAAACATACCAGCAAGTCTCCAAGTCGATCATCAACAATTCTCTTTTGGTAATTTATACAAACGGCGTGTTCCCATTTATAGGTGCTATTATATTTGTTATTGTCAACGCAAGTCGCAATGTGTTTGCTGAGTTCTCAAATGCGTTTATTTTCCTAAATGCGCTTTCCACTGTTACATCCACATTCTTCGAGACGGTTTTCATATTCTCATCAATAAGCACATATTCCGCGCTGCACATTCTACGCCAAATAGCCTCCTTCCTTGGATTGAAGCTGGCTGTTTTCTTCTGCTTTATCGCTTATACAAAAATTATTACATTTACGTCCATGTATATCCCCGTGATTTTTACTGCAATTGTTGTGATACAGACGTTTAGGATTGCAAGAGTGATGCTGTCGGGTTCATTGATGGAGAACATCAAAGACCACTTTTTCCTTGACAACACAACGGTGGTAAACTATGAGCACAGTGATATTGAATAAATATTAAGCAAAATATTTATTGTTTCTACACGACATTGCCCTTGGCTTGTATTTCAAAACTTGTGATAATTTTAATTAAAGTTTTAAATAAGCTTAATGTAAGATTGATTAAGAATAGCTGTAGTAGTACTATAGAAAAGTAGCGTGTGTTCACAATACAGGAGAGTGTTTTGAAGCACATTTAAACTACCTAAAGCCAAAATGTAGAGATCAACACGCAATACGGCTGCAAGCCAGTTTATTAATTTGAGTTTTAATATAAAAGTAAAAATTTTAGTCTTTTTGCCTTGAAAAATTTTATGTTAAAAATGGAAAATACCGGTATACAAATTTTCAAAAAGTTTTATCTGCAGGTAAATCTTTTACTGGCAAATTCTGTGCCAATAGCTATATGCGTTGGATCCAAATGGTTCTGTAGAATAGACTTTTGGCCGTGCTTACTTTTATTTATTTGTTGGCATCTTGACTCACAAAATCCTGAGATCAGTTTAGCGTTCTGATCCGTCTGTAAGTAGTTTATTTGAAAATTTTTTCTTTTAGCAATCAGTTAATCAAACATTCAAATGACAGCAACAAATAAAAGAAAAGAAAGAAACCATAACAAAAGCCACCAAACAAACGTTTTAAATACAAAGGAGAAGTGGTCGAGTATCCTATCTCAAATGCAGACTGCATGGCGTGCTATCGGTTAAATTTACTAATCAAAGTCAACGACAAAGCTGCTAAAACAAAGCACATGGACTAAATATCTTGTAGAGATTTTGATTTAGAATAATATTGCCTAGTTTTAACTTGGTGTTCAGTTTAGCCAGCTGCACTTTCGTTTTACTGTTTATTTCATTTAGTATTTCTAATCACGTTTAATCAAACGAAAATCAGCTTAAGTAAGCAAGAACGCTCTTTTGGTCTGCTGAAATGACACAGCAATCACAAGCGACCAGTCTTTATCAGCTCCCTTGCTTTGTCGCTGCCAATCATTTCTATGAAAGACTGCCGTTTCAAAAGTAGACTAGAATAGAAAAGTATAAACTAAGAATTAGAACATGGAAAAAATAAAACTGCCAGAAGCATCATTTTCATTGAATTATATTTGTGAATCTGATGCAATCACAATTCATAAATCATCCTGTCACCTCAATATCTAAACGTAAAATTTTTAAGTGACTCCGCTCGCCAGAGATCAATCCCGAGTATTCAACATTATTAAATTTGGATAATTTGACAGCAAAGCATTTTACATTTTGATGTATGCTAAGCTTTGTAATGTGCTTGATGCGCGGTAAACGTATCAAAATTGGTTGAACTTTATATAATTTTTCTATAGCCTACCCATGGTTTTTTTCTTGTACACTTTCAGCTCAGATTACTTAAAGGAAAGGTTTATATCTATGGAAAACTGTAGTCTTCTCTCATCCAGTCTACCAAAAGCTATGCCAAAGATCTTCTTCACCAGGGATCTGCACAAGGATTGTGAGTGTGAAATATTAGTGGTTGAGACATTAAAAAAAGATATACGTGCATACAAGAGAACTCAAAAGCTGGCCAAGACTGTTCTGATAACAGCCACGCCCTTTACAAGTCTAGATGCGTTTCTTTCCCTGGGTATCAATTGCAAGTTAGTTTGTATGAGTAAGGAAGAGGTGCTTTTTTCAACTGCATCATCGTTGTTACAAGAAGAAGAAACTGAAATCCAGAGATTTAGCAGGAACTTTGGTATTGAAAAGAGTCATGAGCTTGGTATGTTCTCCAGCCTTCTGGATGTTGGAATGCTTAAGAAGAGGCTGTGGCTCATAGGTTCAATCAAGAATACATCAGAAGCTCGCATAGATGGTGAATCTAACACACGCACAGGGAATGCAGTTGATAGTGACAGATCATCATCGCCATGCTCCCGAGAGCTTTCGTTTGGATCTGAAGGGTCCATTCAATACGACTGTTGGCAGCTAAACAATGAATACTCTGACGGTTATAATGCTGCTCCCAGCTTTGGACACAGCAGGGCTGGCGGAAGTAATGGAAGACAAACAGCACCAATTCTAGGTAGTCATGTTGTAAATAAGAGACCCACAGCTTTTGCCTATCGTTATATTTTTAAATCGTCTACTGATGAGCCATCAGAGCATCAGCCTATTCGCAATACGAGACCACGTGGGATATCTTCAAAAAATAGAAGAAAAGTGAGTCTAATGAATAGACTACTGTGCAGTGAGGCCGAAAACACTGATTCACACATGCAAATTAATCAGCCGTTTTATGGCAGGAATGATCATAACTATTTTTGTGTTTTCAATGATGACCACCTGTTTGGAATCAGAGGAGTTGCTATGAATGGCATAGCCAGTTCTATTTTAAACATCAGTGCAGCGCATAATTTACAGAAAAAAAGAAAAAGAATGCATCGAAGAGCCAGGCCAGAGTCAGAATATAGCGATTATTCATTGTAGTTTAATTTTGTAAATATGATTTGTAAAATAAATGTATTATCAAAGAACGTTAAATCTGCGATTCATTTTTAGTTGTTTTGTTTTGGCATTTGGTTTGTGCTGGAGCCACTAATGCTTTTAGCATATTTGAAAAATGAGACGAGCTGCATCAAGCATGCCACATCCAATGCCGTATGATCTACTGGGCATTGTCTGATATTTATGCCATTATCATTTACTTTCGAACTATTTTTCAGAGTCTGTCTATGCCCGTTCCAAATTTACTCTTATTTTTGCTTTAAAAATTTTTAGCTTGATGGCCCCATGGAGCCAAAGTATAGAAATTATGGAAAAATAATGTTGCTTTTACTCGCATGTGTGTTTGCCTTTGCCATGCTATTAGGTGTCTGCTTTAGATCTCAAAAGAGACAAAAGCCTTTTCATCCAGACTCTGCTTCGTCGTTTTCTAAACCAAGCAGCCGTTACACATACAGTTTTGAGTATAAGTGCTACGGAACAGCAAATCCCACCAAGGAAAGTGATGATCCAGAACAGCTAGCAAATCAAAACCAACTGAATCGGTTGATTGAAGACAACCAAAACTACTTAAATTTGGGAAGTAGATCTGAGCAAACTAAATTAAATCAAGCACGAAGCCAACAAAGGAACGTAGCGAATCCGACTGTAAATCCAAAGCCAAGCAGTGTAAAAGCTACACCGTCCCGAAACCCTAAGCATCTATATGAGTATGAGGACATAAAGCATCGCAGCACGCCATATACCCAGGAAGAATTTGCAAATGCCAGGGCGTTTGGCTTTAACAATTAAATATCGTTTTGGTTGTTTTCAACTAACTAATACTACTGTGTTGATTCAGCTATATTTTGATTTTATTTAAATTTTCCTTGATATTTTTCGTTGATTTTCGCCCCAATGAGAGTTTTTTCAAGCAAAAAACAGCTCAGAAACTTTATCATTAGTGTGTCAGTGCTATCTCTTTGTTTCGTATTTATAATATTTCTACTGACAATAGTACACAGCAAAAGCAATCCCAGCAGTTCTAGCGCATCTCTATCTGAGTGTCAGCAGTCTTGGCCAGCAAAACATGTGAAGTTCGCAGAAAACTCACTCAATAGCAATACCACAAGCATTTCTCACAACAGAACTTACTATTCACCAGCACAACGTATAGCGTATTTTTCATCTTCAAATACTAGCTATTCTGTGCCAAAAATGAATCCACGTACGGCAATAAGCCCAAGTAGAGTAACAGTTCCACAAGTTAATCCTTCAAGAATAATAATACCTCGAAGTTAGAGCATGCTTATTCGCCAATGGTTTTCCGTGGAGTAATAAATTGATTGCAGCCAGACTCGTTTAGTATGGATATCTATGAGGTAGTAATTTATATCAACGTTTTATAATGAACACTGAAGTAAAACCAAATGCTGTAAACGGCCATTTTGATGCGAACATTAACTGCTGGCCATCTAGTTAAAGAAGCACAATGATATTAAGCTTAGCAATGCATAACACTCAATCTGTGCAATAATTCCACTGATACAGCATTTGTGTGTCGAATATGTTTGCAAAGCAGTTGTTAATCAAAATATCCTCATCGCTCAACTGTAAAAGGAGTCTTTATTTTTTCAAAAAATCACCCATATAATGAATGCGCACAGTGGAATGATGCAGAGCAGAAGACGTCTGCATGCTGCTGTTGGAATACTTGTATTGCTGGGTGCATTGTCCATACTATTCTACATTGTGAACTCTAGCTCAAGAACAAGCGACAGCGGCTCTTACGGCAACCGCATTAGACTTGGAGCTAGCTATCAACCAAATGAACTTGACACATGGTATGGATCACATAACATAGTCGATCCTTACACCACAAGGACGGCTAATCCATACATCAGATCATCGCAGTCAGATATCTATAGTACTACTCCATCTTTCAAACCATCTCATCAACGAGAAGGCTCGACCTTTTCTGTTGCAGGTAGTCCTAAGCTTGAGCCAAGTAAAGTCACAATACCAACGTACTCTTCGGAACATCAATACCATTCTCCATTATTGCATCCAAGATCGACACACCAACCATCTGCATCTTCAACAAGACATCCTAGTTCTGAGTCTTTCACACAGCCGCTTTATCCAAGCTTAATCCATCAGCCGTCATCTGCACAGAAGTCTACGGCTACATCGCAGCATTATGGATCGGAGTACTCCTCACTATCTATAAACCCAAGCTCTGTTGTTATTCCTGGGTCTTCTTCATTTTCAGCAGACCCAAGTAGTATATCCGTTCCTCAATCCTCATGAGAAATGGTTGTAGAGCGCTTGATAACATATTCGATATACTTAATAAACACACTCAAACTTATCTAATAAAATGCTTTTGCCTTGATTCTTAGTAAATTATTAAAACCACACTACAATTAACTCAGGAGGA